TGTCACAGGCTGGGGTTCCAGGGGGATTCCCATCCATCCACAAGGCAATGGGGATTCCCTCTCTTCCTCTTCCCTGAAGACCCAGGTGCATTAGAAGCTTGACAAGGGCTGGGGGGGCAGGGTTTGGTCAGGGAAGTTCCTGCCCCCTTCTGTGATCCCCTTCCCCAACCTTGATCTAGCAACCCCCAGCCCCAGCAGAGAGGGACTAAGTGACTAAGCCAAGGCTATATGGAAAGGCAGTGGCAGGGGACAGACTGGGCCTGATCGAGCAGCCCTGTTGTAGCCTGGTCCCCTCCTCAGCCCCCTGCTGGAGTCAGGCTGGGAGGTGGGGCTGGGGGTTAGAGCAGCATGGCCTGGGAGCCTGGGTGCCTGGGTTCTCTTCCTAGCTCTGGAAGGACATCCCCCTGCATTCACCTGTCCCCTGTGGTTCCAACCGCTATGCCACACTCCCCCAAGTGCCTGTGACGACCCCCTGGCTAGCATGGGGATGCAGGAGAAGCTGCCTGATGCAGCCACTTCTGGGGTAGAACATCCTGGGGCTGTGTATCCAGGGTTCCCCCTCTAATCGGGGACTGGTCTGGGGAAATGGGACAGATGGAAGAACTGAGAACAGATGCCCTTCCCCCAGGACCAAGTCAGACCCTTCATAGATTTCATAGACATTAGGGCTGGAAGGGACCTCATGAGATCAGGTCTCCCCTACCCTGGGGGTCTTCAAGAGGAGGTTGGATAGGCATCTAGCTGGGGTCATCTAGCCCCAGCCCTCTTCCCTGCCTATGCAGGGGGTCGGACTCAATGATCTATTGAGGTCCCTTCCGACCCTAACATCTATGAATCATTGGGTCAGCTGGGGTCAGATCACCCCAGCAATATACTTTAAGAAATGCTTGGATGTCTATCAAGAATAGGTGCTTGCACCACTTCAGGGGGAATCTATTCCAGACTCTGGAAACTGGGACGATAAAGAAGTTTTTCCTTATGACCAGTCTAAAACAGTCTTCCAGTAGTTTGTGACCATTCAACCTTACTTCAGTTTCCCCAGCCTCCCTACTGGGGACTGGGGTAAGGGCAGCTGCAGGTCCTGCCCCACACCCTCCAGTGTCCCCTGGTGACAGGCCCCAGAACCTGGAGCCTCAGGTGCATTAGGAGCTTGACAAAGGCTCCTGATGATAATGACCCAGGATAAATAACTAAATAAACAAGTCTTGATGGACGCGGGGTGGGGGGTGAATCAGAAGACACAGCTCCCATAAGGGTGGAGCGGGGGAGAGGAAGCAAGAAACCATTACAATGCAACGTGATTAAGAGTCAGATAAATAACTTTAATTAGCTTTCTACTACACCTGTCACCAGACAACATCAATAAATAAAGCCCTGTAAAGTGCATTGTGGAGATAAGAAGGGGTAGAAACCCAGTCTGAAGTGTTCTTGAAGACAGGAGAGGGGGGAATGAAGGACCTGGGGTCTTTCCGGGGAAGGATGGAGATTTGGGAGCCTACGGTGGAGAGGAACGGAGATTTAGGCACCCACGGCAGGGCTGAAGGCACACTTCACCCCTCCCCAGCCCCTAGAGACCAGGCGCCCTGAGATCTAACAGTCTGTGGGGGTGGAAAAATATATAGATTCCTTTAGCACCATTTAGGCTTCGGATGAACAAGAAGCTGCGAAGAACGCCTCGGCGTGGAAAACCCCATGAGGTTTCAAGCAGCTCCCGTCAGCTGAGACTTGTGTTTCCGCCCACAGGCAAAATCCAAGTCCCTTTCAGGAAGCCTTTGAGAGCACAGTCCTCTAGATTTCATCCACTCCCCCTGCCCCCACCAAGAACAAAAACCAGGGTCGCCCCATAGCAGATCAAACTGAGGAGTTAGGGGGGAAATAGGGTGTTTCCTGGGCCAGTCTGGGTCTTCCCTGGGCTGGAAAGAATAGTCTGGGGAAGGGGAAGTGGGGGCAGGGGAGAGTTTTGGGTTCAAGTACTCAGTATTTGGCCTTCTCCTAGCCCCTGATCTCTGTTACCCACCCCCGCTGTGTCGCTTCAGGGTGGGGAAACCAGGCTGGAGGAAGCGACAATGATCTAGGTAATGCTATGACCAGAGCCCACAGGAGAGACTGGGGGAAAAAATAAATCTTCCCCCTCACCTCAGTTTGCTCTGAAAACAGACTGTTGCCTCGAGGAGACACTCCCTTCTTTTGTGCCCTATAGGGCTTATGACACACAGCGGAGCCACCAAGAATCCAACCAGCGGAAGGTGGCACCGGCGTCCTGAGCTTCTGGGGGTTTTTTACCCCTCTCCAATCTCTGTCCATGCCAGGAGGGAAAGCAGCACTGTTGCAATAAGTTACCACCCTATAAACAACCCCCCCAATAATAAATAAAAAACAATGTCCGTCAAAGATTTCCCCAGCCCCGCCAGATCTAGGGGGGTGGAGGACAGGCAGGATCAGGGCCTATCCCCCCACACCCCCTCGATTGGTCCTGGCATCTTCTGCATAGGCTTGACCAGCTGATTGTTCATGGATCCCACTTTTCACACCAATCTCCAGAACTCTGTTTCACCCTTACGGTGACTGGTGGGGATGGAGGGGGAATCTCATAATCCCCCACTGTCTGTCAAGTCCCCACCAGGCAGCC